AAGAGCCTCCGTGCATACTGCCAATCCTAAATAAACTGGCAGCGCAGGACGCATGTGTAGCTGCTGCTATTACATCTGATTGTTAGAATCCATGCTTAAATGAAGATGAACCAGTGACAGCTTGCACTGAAAGGATATTTGGCATTTTAAAAATAATTAAACTAAACACTAAAAATTTAAAAGTCAGACACTGAAAATTGAAGCATTAAAAAAAATCTAACACCTCTTTTACAAAAGTAAACAAATAATGTGATAAAACTCATTTAATGCTGCAGCATTTTTTTCTAAATAATAGATGGTTTCAGTGTCACTGCAGAGTTCCCTCAGGTACATGTCACTACAAGCTGGCACTGTTTGGGCATCAGGTCCCATATTAAAGGCTACTAATGTTGTTCCAGTTCCAGTGTAGGTACCAGATCTGCTTGGGGCCCCGCCCCTTCTTATGACGTCAACATATGGCAACTCCACTCGGACAAACTGTATTACTCCTATTTCTTTAGAATCAAATCTCTATTGGGTTCTCAACATATTATTACCTATATTTTGTATTATTTTATGTTTCACTGGCGATCTAAAGTAGCCGTTGTCAGTCTTGAAGGAAAGTTCAGCTTTCTAAGACAGAGCTCTGCCATTTAACACAGTGACAAAAAGTCTCAGCTTATTTTTATTCTTTTTATTAAAATCTGAGGGCAGGAAGGACAAATTGAACATCTTAAAAAAATGACTTCCGTAGAGATTTTAGACAAATCAAACAGTTGTTCTACTTTTAGAAAACGAACGGTTGTTGTTGATACAAATTCAAACTGTAATACGGTTAACTGACCGAGCTAAAAGAGGCTAACCTGTTAGCTACTGAACACAGCTAGCTACAGCGCTACCCCTTTATACCACGGTCTAACAGTTACTTTGTTCACCATGAACGTTTTTTTTCCAGTTTTTTTATCTATGAGGTAAAATTTCATCGATCATTAGACACGCTAACATTACAGATGCTCTCGACTCTTTAGTATAATGATATACTTAGGGTTGCCAACCGTCCCTTAAAAAACGTAATTGTTCCGTATTTAGAAATAAAAGTACCCTTATTTAGTGGAAAAGGAACGCACTTTGTCCCGAATTACTGCAAGATTAAAAAAGTAGTCTGTAAAAAGATAATGGGAAATGAAGAACAAGGGCACCTTAGATACAAAACTTATGGTAAACTTGTTCCCGGGCCCTGTCCTGCATTGTGACCAATGAGTTGACAGCATATATGTCACGATCTACAATCCCCTCTACCCATTGGTCGAGCCAAGTGTTGCTCACGGAGAAGATAGCGGGAGACAACTGAGCAATATGGGGGAGGAACGGAGTCATTTCAATGCTGACGCTGCTTTTGTGGGTGGTGAGCCTTCGACAAATATGTTTACAAGTTTGCACAAGTTTGCTCTTGCACCAAAAATGTGAACTATTTATTTATTTTTCTATAATCATTTTTACAGTTTGTAGTTAAGCAGGACAGGCTTATGTCTAAGATACTTATTTTATTCAGCAAAGTTTGTTATTTTGTATTAAATTGCTGGATAATTATTTTCATGTCACTCACAAATATGCATCTAATTCAATGCAGATTTGAGTCAAATAGTTAAAAAAAAAAGAATTTAACACAAAGGGGAGCTAAAAAAAACACACCACACCACGAGGGGAAAAGGCAGTCAGGTCAGCTGGCACGCACATGAGGTGTCCCTTTTTTTTCAGGGAATTGGCAACCCTAGATATACTATATCATTATACTAATAATTATGTTATTACCACAATGTTTTACATCATGTGTCAACATTCAGTCAATCGTGTAGCGCAATGTCACTTCATGAAAAGGACTCGAGCAGATGTGACTTACAATTAAACCCCTAACAGCTAGTTGGCAGTGAACCACCAGGAGCCTGTTATTCACCTGCTCCGCAGCACAGCAACAACCAGTGAGGGTTTCCAGAGGCATGTTATCAAAACACTGGATTATATCATCTTTATTAATGTAGTGAATTATATCCTATCGTCACCGATGTGTTGTGATACAAATCGCCAAATTCAGGTCAATTCATGCCCACAAATTATGTTATCCTAGGGTCCAAAACACGAATATCACTGGCAGATTTCAACACGTTTGGTTTTTCTTTTTAGATAGATTTTTGAGTTGGTCTTTCAAAACTGAATGTCCTGATGGCTGACCTTAAAGATTTAATAAGCTTTTATGAGTCTAGATTGTTTTTAACCATCTGTTATCAAAAATTAATAACAGTCTAATAAAATGTGATACACATGATAATCCCATATGTTTCTTTAAAACACAGTTTTAGATTAATACAATTTTTATTATATCTGTTAAGAAACACAAAATATAAGATATTTTTATTGCTTTTGCAGGAATTAAGAACGCATTGAAATCCCAGTAGTAGCCACCCAAAACTTCCCCATTTTCCTTGATGGGCCCTTGGCTGGTCCCCTACAATTTGTTTTTAAACATTTTTAATAAAATATTCCTTCTGTAATGATTTGCAAAAATTAACATCTTAATGTTAATTTAGATGGTTTTGTCTAATGGTTTTGTAACCATTAAAACTTAAAACCCAGCATGTCCTGGGTCTCCCCCTGGGCCTCCTCCCGGTGGGACGTGCCTGGAACACCTCACCAGGGAGACGTCCAGGAGGCATCCTAATCAGATGCCCGAGCCACCTCAACTGGCTCCTCTCGATGTGGAGGAGCAGCGGCTCTACTCTGAGTCCTTCCCAGATGACTGAGCTTCTCACCCTATCTCTAAGGGAGATGTAGACACACTCCGGAGAAAACTCATTTCAGCCGCTTGTATCCGGGATCTCATTGTTTCGGTCATGGCCCAAAGCTCATGACCATAGATGAGGACAGGAACGTAGATCGACCGGTAAATTGAGAGCTTTGCTTTTTGGCTCAGCTCTCTCTTCACCACAACAGACCGGTGCAGAGCCCGCCTCACAGCAGATGCCGCACGAATCCGCCTATCGATCTCCCGCTCCATCTTCCCCTCATTCGTGAACAAGACCCCAAGATACTTAAACTCCTCCACTAGGGGCAGTACATCCTCCCCAACCTGGAGAAGGCACTCGACCCTTTTCCGGCTCAAGACCATGGTCTCGTATTTGGATGCACTAATTCTCATCCCTGCCGCTTCACACTCGGCTACGAACCGCTCCAGTAAGAGGTTTAGATCACACCCTGATGAAACCAACAGAACCACATCATCTGCGAATAACAGAGATGCAACTCTCACCGGAAACGAGTGCGACTTACTGCCGGCAATGTGGACCAGGCTCTGACACCAGTCATACAGAGACCTAACAACCCCTATCAAAGGGCCTGGTACTCCATACTCCCAGAGTACCCCCCGAGGGACACGGTCGAATGCCTCCTCCAGATCCACAAAACACATGTAGACTGGTTGGGCGAACTCCCATGCAACCTCCAGAATCCTGCTGAGGGTATAGATCTGATCCATTGTTCCACAAGAAACAAGAATACCTTATAGGAAACCTAACAGACATCGACAGTGTCAAATCTGTTTTCTTACTTAAACATGGACTCTTGAAAAGGGTGCGATATTTAAAGCAGGGGAAATTACCCACCAACACACAAGCATTGTAGTGCTTTAATATCTCACTACACTCAGGCTGACAGGTACAGTAGCAGGAATTCAAAATGGCCATTCCCATCCAACCTCCAGCCAATGGAGTAGAGGTGAGTATTGGTAGAGTGTTCCGATTCGATACATGTTGCGATACTTGGGTCACGATACTAAGTATCACGATATTGCAGTATCACTATATATTGTCATATTGTCCCCAGCTATCAAAATCAAATGATGAGATAAAACAGCAAGTGCTGTATATTTTCATCAGAAAATATTGATTAGGTATTATTATCCATGTTGCTTGGGGTTTTCTTCCACTGTGACTGCCTCAAATACAGATTTGGTGCTGCACACATAGTTAAAGGGCTCCACAGCGCTTTCTGCCAGAGTGGTGGTGCAGAGGTAGCCCATTTTCCCATCAATGTTTTATGTAACCATATATTTTTTTTAAATCGATACTAAGAAGTGAAAGATCGATATTATATTGGGCAGCCGAATATCACGATATATCGCCAAAACGATTATTTCCCACACCCCTACAATGGAGTGACCCCATCTTGCATATTGTTTTACTCTGACTCCACCCTTTCACGGTATTGCTGACCAGTAGATGATGCTTCTTTTTAGATCTTAATGTCCACAAATAATGACAGAAACAATATTTTTGAACAAAGATAGATGTATAAAAAGGAATTGTAGGAGACCAGCCAAGACCAGCGAAAAGACCAGCCAAGGTCCAGCCAAAGACTAGCCAAGGACCAACCAAAGACCAGCCAAGACCAGCGAAAAGACCAGCCAAGGTCCAGCCAAAGACTAGCCAAGGACCAACCAAAGACCAGCCAATGACCAACCAAAGACCGGCCAAGGACCAGCCAAAGACCAGCCAAGGACCAGCCAAAGACCAGCCAAGGACCAACCAAAGACCAGCCATGGACCAGCCAAGGACCAGCCAAAGACCAGCCAAGGACCAGCCAAAGACCAGCCAAGGACCAACCAAAGACCAACCAAGGACCAGCCAAGGACCAGCCAAGGACCAGCCAAAGACCAGCCAAGGACCATCCAAGGACCAGCCAAGGACCAGCCAAAGACCAGCCAAGGACCAACCAAAGACCAGCCAAGGACCAACCAAAGACCAGCCAAGGACCAGCCAAGGACCAACCAAAGACCAGCCAAGGACCAACCAAAGACCAGCCAAGGACCAGCCAAAGACCAGCCAAGGACCAGCCAAACACCAGCCAAGGACCCATCAAGGAAAGTTGAAAAATTCTGAATGGCTACTACAGTAATCTTCTTAACAAATATATGGTTATATTAACCTAATATGAATGTTTGACTTTTTTCCAACGGGTGATATCCTTACAGCTGAACATCAAGCAGCACTCGTTTGTCTTCTCCAACATGTATCCTCCAGCTGCAGTCCTCTCCTTCTCCGTACCATTCAGGCCAGTTTGGGGACAGAATCACTCCTCCTGGACCCGTCAGGTCGCCACCACACTGGGCTGCAGGGGGGTGAAAAGGCAGCGTGAACAACAGCCAGTAAGTGGTTGATTTGTATCGAAGACTAGATATTCATTTTTTAAATTTTGTTTTAGAATAATAAACTAAAACTGGAATCTGTCGAAACACCACAGATAGCATCACTATAAATAGAATGAGAGCTGTCTCAGTTTAAGGAAAAACAGTAACACAATAGTTTCTGACAGCAGTGAGTTCGAGATTATAATTCTACTGTGGTCAAATGAAGTCAACCCTGACAAGTACTGCAGCATCAGTTTAACAAACATTGACTGCTGTGACTTCTAAGGTTATTTATCTCTGTTGTTCTGCTGCTTCTTCCAGTAAAGACGACACATATTTGGCAAATTGTCTATGTCTGTTGACAAACTTCTATTTAAATGTTAAAGCAACAAATGTTTTTATTATCATTTTTCCAAAAATCTAAAGGGGTGCATAATAAAAGTATTAATTTTATTTCTGTAATAGTGCCAAGAAAGATTTGGCTCCAAAAGGAAAAGTAGGTTGAAGCCCCATAATGGTCCATTCACATTGAACACAGAACCTGCAAAAAAAATCTCCAGTTTTTGTACTTTTGCTCACCAGATATTTCACCATCACTAATGTTCTGGGCGAGCAACAGTAATTCAAGCATCAGGCAAACTACTACCACTACTTCACTACATTGTTCAATTTGCTGGTTGGTGGTTTCTGCTCAACATGGTAGACTTTGGTTTTATGGAAAAAGTCAAAGTGTTTTATTCACTTTGGAAAGTGGAACAAATGTGCCGGTTTCCCTGGATCCAGCAGGTCCTCCAGAGATGGTGCTAGTTTGGGGAGTCCAGAAAATTTGGAAGGATCATGGCTGCTTACTGCAGAGCTCAAGGTAAGGTGAGATGGCATTTTTTTGGGTACGGACAGAAGCAGAGAGAAATCAGAGCAAGAACTCCGGCAAAGAAGGAGCGCCAGAACCAAGACAAGGCGGGGGTGGGTCATGGGTCTTCAACAGGGGGTCATGAAAATTTTGGTTGATTAGACAATTTTTTTTTATTCCCCCTGCAACTTTTTTCACTTATTACCATGAATTTGACACACTGTAATAAACAGATAATTGGAGGCAGATAATGTCTTTCAGTCATCAATGCACACATTCAGTGACACACAGGAGCTCTTTCAAGTTGGACACAATTTCATTTACAACACCTGTCCCATCAACCAGGAATCAGAATCAGAAATACTTTAATAATCCCAGGGCAAAATTACTTTTGTTACATTACTCCATATGTAATAGAGTGACTATAGGACTAGTTTGATAGAACACAATTTTATACAATATATATAATTAAGGGGTCCATGCTCCATCTCTCCATCAGTTTGGGGGTCCTTGGCCTGGAAAACGTTTAAGACCCCTGCTCTAGACAGAGAGAGGACCACTGCAGGGAAGTGGCGGTGGCCGGCTCTGGAGGCTAAAAGGAGAAGATTGAAGAAGGACAGTGGCACATTGTAGAAATCCAACGGGTAAAGAGCACCAATGCAAGAAGAGGCAGCCATGGCAGATAGAACTGAGACAATTGCTCCCTCTTCTCATTATATTGCTCATATTCAAGTAAACATAGAAAGAAGCAAACCAAGTGTGAACATTGGTCAAGCTTTGAGCCGCCAACTTAAAACAAATAAAGGGGATCAGGACCAATGGTTAGAATTAGAACCTGACAACCATCTGGCAGACGGTATAATGTGTTCAAATAAGAGTGAGCCAGCAGCAGTGCACAACCTACTGGTCGGGACGAGTTAAATTTGCATAATTTTCCTTTGAGTGGTGACCTTTTTATGTGAGTCTTCAATGCAGTTAATAAACTGTTTCTAGGACAGCACTCTTCTGGAAAAAAAGATTATGGTTCTAGTTAGAATCTGCTAGAGGCATGCTCCAGATTAAGGGACAATAACTATCTGTTTCTTTTTCTTTTTTCCTGTAATCACTAATTCTGTCCAAGCTGACTTTTCCTACAGTCTAGCCTTCATTAAAGGGTTATTTTTGTTAGCCACCAAGTGTTTGTTGGTCAGCGTGGATCTCCTTATCCCCAGTCGCTGGTGCCTGCCACTTAGTTGTGGGACTTCCTGCCCTCAATCAACTCTTTTGTCAGGAGATTGATAAACTGAGCAGGATCCAATCAGATGACAGAAACCACAAGAAAGATATTACTTTTTCAGCTGTCCCCAATCAACATCCATTCCAGGCGTTACATCAATTTATTTTTGATTCAGTGACACAGTTACCCCAGTCTCTAAGTTTCTAAATCTTTAAAAAGCTTGACTAATCTGAAGTTCTGTCTGTTCAGATCCAATTTTCAAACATTCATCAGCTCCAATTGGAGTCATGATTTAGTGTTCCTGCCATCCAGTCAAACGTGAAACCAACTAATCCCTCTGAATCTCTACCGTCATCCAACAACACGTCTTGCCACTTTGTTCTGGCATTCCACACATGCTTTGCTTGCCAGTATCTTACACTCAGCTTTTAGATATTGGACTCTTTCAGGGACGCCTTTGAATGGCCAACATCTTCAGTCCTCTTTAATGTGGTAGAGTGTTGGAAAAAATTTTTGTTAAGATCTTTCATGTTTTGTAACCATTAAAACTTAAAGTTTCCAAAGTGTTCCTTGGACTCCCTGATGATATTTAGCTATGAAGTTATCTGCTCTTTAGATAAAGAAGACTACCTGCATCAACCCTACATGCTGAACCACTCAGAGTTGCAAATCTCTGGGGGGATCCTGGAAACAGACACCAAACAGACAAAGAAAGGGAATGTTTGTTTTAAAACATGAGGTCAGGCACCAGGAGAGGGAATAAAATTGATTCTTTCTTTGTAGTAGTTCAAATTTTGTTTTATGGTTCTCCGTGTGGACTTCTGTCTGAGTTTCTTTTTTAGTTTTCAGTTCCACTTTGATGTATGTTATTCTGTGTTTTCTTGTTTATTGATTTCTTTTCCATTTTGTGTTATATTTATGCAGACTTGTATTTCTTGAGTTACTCTCTGTTGCCCCCTTGTGCCTGTCTCGCCTTGCTCCCTTGTAGTCACTTCTATCCACACCTGCTCCATATCAGCTCATTAGCCCATTCTTTGTTTCTGTTGCTTTAGTATTTCAATCAGCAAAACTCACCTCTGCCTCCTCATCTCTGAATTTGACTCCTCGAAAATGAATATATCTTTTTCATGCGAGTAAAAAAACTAAAATCAGAATAATGACCTGCCGCTAAAATTTGTATAAGCATGTTGATAGAAAAACACCCATGGGTTATTAATAAATGGTTCAGCCGTTCCCCTAACTACTATTGTTAATGCTATATTCAGACTGCAAGCGCTGGAAGCAGCAAAAAAGTGTATACAAAATCACATTTAGTTCAGTACAGCTCTCCAGACATTTCCATTTCTAAACTGCAGCAGTGATAAAATGTCAACTAATGTAAAGACTAGTATTGTGATTTATAGTTTTTCCAGCATTCAACACTTTTTTCCCCCATTTTATTCAATATTCAGAAGGATTAAGATCCTGCCTTAAAATTTTATTTTGCTGTTGGCCACACATGAAACCCCCGTCTGTCACTGGAAATCCCCTTCAATGGCAGCCTCTGGCCCAGTCGCATCTTTGTGGTTTTCAGCTAATGTTAGCGGGGTCTGGAAGGCGTTTTTCATGTACGCATTCCAAGCTGCAGGCACCAGAATACGGTCCTGCAGCTGCTCGAAACACTTCAGGACCTTTTGATGTGCCTGGATTCACATCAACCAAAGACTTTGCATGTAAACTAGCTGCTTCTGCTGCCTTTATCGTGTGCGTTCTGAACTAAGCATAATTATTTTTCTCTGGTTGAGTTACATCACTTGATCAGGTCGTTTCTAATATGGCACACTACAACATGATATCGGGCCAATACCAGTATTGATCAAAACTCAGAGCTGCAATATGAGATATCGTATCAAAAAGAAAAAGCTGTAATCGGGACTTTACTAGGCATAATTGACAAAGACTCCTGATTTAAGCCTGTTTTGTGGTTGCCATAATTTGCACAGAAAAGTTTCCAAACCTTTGTTGCCTGGGCCAAAATCGACTAATCAAAATTACATGAAAGTTAAAAAGTATCATAGCTCAAAATGGGAGGGTTTATTTGTGAAGCACCGTAATTGTCTTTTACCCGTTCTGTAAGATATGAGAATGTAATAATAAATACATTAGTCAGATTTCCTGTAGGACAGCAGTGCAAAAAGTGAAGAAAAAAAAATTTGGATTTGAGCAAGGAGTTAATGATCTGCCTCTGAAATTAGGAATAATATAAAAACATTAATAATCTCATATCAACTGGAGTGTATCTATATTATTCTTATTTAAGGGGTGAAAATATTGATTTCATTGGCTGATAATTTTAATAAAGTGCTCAACTAAAGAGCAAAGACTGTAGATTAAAGTAGATTTTCCAAGTGAGGGACGAGAAGCATGGTAGATCAAACACAAAAAGGGTTTTACATGTTTGTTGTATTAAAGATGATCATACAGTTAGTGTCAGGGTTGGATTGAGGTTTTGAGGATCCAAATGCAGAGGCGAAGAGGCAGAGGTGTGTTTTTGAAGATTTAATTAAATAATTGAGGCAAAAAATCCAAAAACCAAAGTACAAAATACTGGAAACCAAAAATCATGGGAAAACTCACGTGGGGAGCCAGGAAAAGACGAGGAAACTGCACAGGTAGAGTATATATGGGAGACTGAACAAAGACAGGACTGGAAGCAGGTGTGAACAGGTGTGAACAGAGGACTCTAGAAAGGAGCTAGGGAAAAGGAGACCGACCCACAAGAGGGAAACAGACGGCCACCAAGAAAAACCTAAGAACTCAAGTACATCCAGATTATACCACAAAATAGGAATTAAACCAATAAAACAAAGAAAAACATGGATCAAAATGAAACTGAAAACTCAAAAGAAAAACTTAAACCTAACCAAGACTGTGACAGTTTATTCAATTAGTTTGAGCTAGAAGAAATACATGAAATTAAAACTCTGAATTTTCCTATTTGACGTAACACAGAATCTGTTTGGGGTCACACACGGAGCCCTTACCACACTTTGCACACCATCATTCTTGGAAAAAAATAAAATAACTTACCCCTAATTTCTTAAAACCCCTTAAAAATATATTATTTATTCACCAACTCAAAACCACTCATCAGGTAGAACAAGTTTTAAAAACCAGTGAATGCCTTAGACTAAGACTAATTTAGCGTCAAAACATGAAAAACTTTATTGTACCTTTGCAGATAGGTTCAGTATCGTTCCAGTACGGGTCCCTGGCACTTATGCACTCTATTACTGGAGGGCCTTGTTCTAAAGAATGACCCGGGTCACATGTGAATTGGACCACGGTTCCGACGGCATACAAGGGGTCTGATGTTGTAAAGTTTCCGTTCTGGAGGTAGGGCTCGTAGCAGTGGCCGCGCTCAAAGGCTGCAACAGCAAACAGAAAGAAGGATGTAAGCAAACGTTAAACTGCAGAGAGGTTCTGCTACTTCCTGTACCTTCATAGCGAATGTTAAACCCCGTCTCATGGTTGGGCTGATCGGTGATGAACTGGACCCTCACAGCTGGACCCTCACTGATAACCCCCTCAAAGGGAATCTGTCCGCCCCGGCCCGAATCAAACAGCACGACAGAACCGGCATCCAGGCCACTCCATAACACCAGTCTGCAGGGATTTACACAGAACAGTCCAGTAGAGTAAATCAACCTTATTTATTCAATTAAACACTTTTTTAATATGTTTAAATACATAGATTTAGCTGTTCATGGGAATAGAATAAAAATATGTGTTCCTGTTATTTTACTTACAGTAAAGCAGCAACATTCTTATCCTGATATATTCTCTTTAAAGTCTGTGTATTTTGTGCTTAATATCAAATATACAATAAAAGCAAAAAATGCACAATTAAGTAATCTCCATTGAATAATCTAAATTACATCTAAAATGATAAAAGAAATCATTAACTGCTATTAAAAAATAAAAAAAATTTGGAAAAATTATAAAACATATTTCAGTCTTATATCTACATTTGATCACCATGTTTATATGTTATCATTGTTGCACTTTAAGAAATGGAAATGTCTTGCTGTACTGAACGAAATTTCGTTTTGTATGCACCCTTTGTGTACAAAATTACAATAAAATTTGTCAAGATCTAATGTTAAGTCTCTTTATATTTATGGATAAATATACAGTGAAGAAATGATCAGTATTTTTAGGGGGTCGCCAGTTGTTATGTTTTGGGTCACAGGCTGGTGCATTTCTGAACCCTTGGATTAGATGACATGTATTTAGATGACAATACTCTGAACTGACTTGGACCTGGGGATCATAACTTGCTAACTTTGCTTGCCCCTACCGGTCCGTTGGTCCCAGGGCCAGCCTCTCTAGGTGAAGATGCAGCCTTTGGTCCTTTGGTGCCTCCAGAGACCAGGAGCAGGAACGGTCCAAAGTGGCATTGGGTCCGTGGTGGGGAGATGGGGACAGCACCCGCCCTACTGTTGCATTCTTTACTGTGCCTCCACAAAGAGCTACAGGGAAGATAGTATGTTTTTATAAACACTACAATATGGATGCGTCCTGTCAGGTCTAAACACCTAAAACATCATACATACATGCAGGGAAAGAAAAAGGCACAGAGACAATTAGTTTAGTTTTACTCGCGAGGAGAGTAGGAAGAGACTGCAGAGTTTACAAATCTCCAACCCACTCTGCTCGTCTTCAGCTTTCTCCTCGCTATTTATTAAAGTAAAGGGATATCCCTAATTACACAAGCTGAGGTTGTACTAAGGGAAAGGGAAACAAAATGATCTTACTTTAAACCTCAGCATATATGTTAAAACAAAGCATGTGGTTGTTTTACAATTAAATTTGTTTCAAGAACACATGTTTAGAAGAAACATGTGATAGAGGATGTTCAGGACTCTTTTACAGCCCGTTACAGTCCGTTGCATGACCTTTATCTGTAACGATCTTTAGCAAGAGTTAATAAGCGATGAATCACACATTATACATCATAATAGTTAATCAGTACACAACCCATGAAACACACACGGAGTAAAAGTATAAATAAAATATTTCTAACACGTCCCAATTCAGTGGCTGCATCCTTTTACCATCATCATCTTAATGTAACTTGATCGCCTAGCAACCGTGACACCATCGGGCATACATATATGAAACCAGTGGAGTCCCAACCTTTATAACTAGTAACAGAATTTAAAAAATCTAATGCAACATCGCCATGGGACCAAAGTTATGAATAAATTATTATTTAGATCAGGGTTCTTACTTTTAATTATTAATGGAAAACTTATCATGAAATCATCTAGAAGATGCCTAAAGCTTTCTGTGTTGATTTTCAAAGAGATTAAGAAAAACAACATTCTTGTGAAAAATATATCAGCTTAGAGGAATTATTTGGCTATGAAAAACCTGGTTTTTAAACATACAAATAAATTTCTCATCCACAATATTGAGGATAAATTAAGCATTTTTTTCTGGACCCAGACCATTTGCTCCTGTTTTTGTAAATTTAGTCTTTGTACCGTAGCCACAGGCATGTTTCTGCTGTTAAAGAAAAGAGACATTAGAGTTGTAAACAAAAAAGGTAACAGAGAGCATAAAAATAATTTATAAATTAGAAATAGACACCTCGAATTTAAGGATCTCATTGATTTAGAAACTGCACTAATTATTATATTATATTATTGTTTTTAGTCTTGTTGAATTAGGAACTGATCACAGAAGAAGTAATTTCCACACTAACTTTCAACCTAAGTGCTATATAAATGTTAATAAAATAAGGACAACATTTTAAGTAAATACATACAATTATGACACAATGTACTGTAATCTCATGTACTGTCATAAGACAATAGTGTTACCATTAAAGATATGTGTAAGGCATTTGGTGCCTGTGTGTGGATTTATGCTAAGAGCAACATGACCAACATGTCATGCTAACCCCGAAATCCAACATACTCCATCAGCGCTACACTGCGCTCCAGACGCCTGCACAAAGCAAAGCATACAGCCTCCGCTGTGGAGATCGTAGAGGGCATGCGCGAGATGATTAAATTCAAAGCAGCAAAACATGTGGAAATTATCCAGGGTTTCCGCGGATCATTAAAAATAATTACAATTCATTAATTTTGGGGGATTTTTTCATAAATTTTTATTTTTTCATAAATGTTTTTTTATTTTTTTTATTTTTCGGTGTAACAATAAACATATACCGAACCGAACCGTAAACCGTGACCACGAAACCGTGAACCGAACCGAACCGTGGATTTTGTGAACCGTTCCACCCCTAGTGTGGATAGGGGGTTAGAAGCACAATATGTTACTAATGTAATCTTTTCTTTTACTTTTTTTCTTTTCATAAATAGTTAACAAACAATGAATTTTTTCACGTAAAAAATTATATAAGAAAATATTTATTCATAAATGTAACTAATAAACATATATTTATTTATGTGAGGATGAGTTAATTCTTCATCTCCTCATATAACTCACTCCAGTATAGTAAAAAAAAAAATATTAATAATAATTTTGAAGCTTAACCTTTATGTCAGCCAAGATTTATTCAATAGCAAGCCAAAGTATTAAATGAAGATGAACATGAAAGTCTGAAAATATGAATAAGTCATGTGTTTAATTTCCACCCAGCAGTTTAGCATGATGAGCGGGAAGACTTCCTGGTTAGCTGACAGCAGCCGAGGCAAGATGGTGCTGAGAAACATCTGATTGCTTTTCAAGTATTTATACTGCACAAAAAACTGCAAAAAATAAGCAAAAAATGTGTTAAATTAAATGTATTACCCTTCATTTAAGTAGGTAAATAAGATGGTTTGCATAAGGATTGAGTATTTTTACTCTTAAAATTAGATAATTAGATACTAAATTTTTTTTGCTGTGTAAGTTATTCTCAAAATGCCTTAAAAGTTTATTCTGTGTTATAGAAGGTGTAATTTATTTTTATGTTATTTACAATTTGTGCCTAGGAACGTCAAGCATGACTACCTGAGTTTGACCAATCTGCTTCGACCTGAACTGAATTATGGGAAAGGACCCTCCAGATTGGCCAAATAAAGGACGTATTTGTGTGCTGCATTTAAAACCATGTTAAGGCCCTGTCACACCTTACCGATTTAGAAAGAGTATGCCTGACGTCCCACAACCTCCTAAAATGCTGAATAAAGTATTCATAATGAGTCCAGAACTTATGAACAACAACGACCGAACATATGCATAACCCTAAGCAAGCATAATGTCCATGAAATGATACTTGGCCATTAAGAAGCATCAGGTAAAGCTGCTCCCCTCAGGTGCAGCGATGCACCTGGAGGTCTGCAATAAAAGATGTCTTGGATTGCTGTATTAACCTAGCTGCTGTTTACCCAAAATAAGTAGAATAAATAAATAAAAGAAAGGAAAGAATGTTTGGCAGCGTAATGCTCATGAAATGTGACAAGCCAGCTTCCTGAGGAATGCGCCGGAATGCGTCCGGCCAAGATAAAAAGAATTCTTTGACCTTTCTATTAACCTAGCTGCTGTTTACCGCCCCACAAAAAGAAGTAAAAAAAAGAAATTAAAGAAAAAGCAAGAAAGAAGGTTTGCAGTGGAAGCAGATACAGCGTAATTCCTGCTAGGAAGTTTGATGGTGGTGGGCGTGAACGCAGGGAGGATCTATCACCCTCACCTTCTCCCTCACCCTGTGATGGGGATGAAGTCTGGAGGAGAACTGATGGTTTCCTCCTTTGGACCAAAAGCTGCTAATATATGGAGAGATATTTGTGCCATCGGTTTGAGCGCGCAGGAACCAATCCGAGCGTGCAGTGAGACAACACGCGCGCGCGCAAAACCGGTCTGGCGCGCGCTCAACTCTGAAAAATATGGCAAGCCAAGAAGGTCATATTTCGCATTGAATTCTCGCGTTAAGATTGAAGTTAACCCGCAAAAAACGCGCGTTCCCCCGAGATTACGACGCTTTTTACGCCGTCTTTTACCAACAAGCGCCGCCTTTTACGCGCGTCATGATAGTACCGCAAGACGCGCGTTAAATACGCGCGTTGTGTCGGTCAGAACGCGCGTTAAATACGCGCGTTGTGTCGGTCAGAACGCGCGTATTTAACGCGCGTTTTCCTAATATGATAATGATGTCCTTCCTTCTTTTCCCACAGCCAATGCATTTGAACTGGTTGCATCCAATGGCTGATCAAGGCAGCCAGACCAAGAAAGTTCAGCATAGATCTGCTTTGTGGAAAACTGCACAGAGCTCAAAGTTGCAGCATTGCCAAAATTCACTGCATTGCCGTTTCACAAAGACTTAATGTTAGGAATATATCCACTACATACACTTTGCTGTTATTTTGAATCCATTCCATACCTATTTTCATGTAAAAACGTTTTGCATCGCCAACTGATGTTTTGTATTTACCGGGATTACTAGGAATGTTTCACCACTTATCATCACCGAGAGGCGGCGTAGTGGGTTAAGTAACCGCCTTCAATGCGAATTTTTGCTTCGTGGCAGGTTCGAATCCGGCGGAGGCAGTCCGACTTTTCCCTTTATGTTCTTTCTTGTCTCCAACCAAGCCCATTTATTTATTTATTTTTTTCTGAGAATATAATCATAAATGTAGCCTACTTCACTGTTTTTGATCCATCGCCATGCATTCTGTCATGTAAAAACATTTTATATTGTACTAATAAAATGACAATAAAGGGGACACTTGTCTTCCAGAAAATTTGCCGGTCTGACTTGTTTTCTGTATATTTTCCTGCATATCACCAACCTTTTCCCATAATGCTTTCTACAGCCATGGAGCAACTGCTGTTAAAATTAAATTAACAGGAACATTTCTTATTAAAAGTGTTATTAGTGCAATGAGAAAAAACTTGCTTAGTTGAGCCAGTGGAGGTTTGATGATCCCCATAGCTCATGTTCTCTGTCTCCTACATATACACACACACATATATATATATATATATATATATATATATATATATATATATATATATATATATATATATATATATATATATATATATATATATATATATATATATATATATATATATATAAACCACGTCACATAAATGTTCTTTCAGTCTACAATACTTTCAGTCTGCAGATGGCGCCATATAACGGGTAGGCTACTGGCAGAGCAGCAAACAGGTGTTTGCACCAAAGCTGGGGAACAATATAGGCAAGGTGTGTCTCTTTTTCAAGAGAGAACTGGATACTGGATTCTTTCATCTTTTTTATTTATTATGAACTATTATTTATCTATTTCCCACTACCTTTGACCACTAGTCAGTACCTTTACTTATGTGTACTGGAACAAGATCCAAATGTGCAAGAGTCTAATTACATTTTCATTGTGGAATAGGAGACAAGGTATGGGTGCAGCACCTTCCATTGGGGGTGTATCCAGAAAACAGGTACTACGTTATTTAGATGTTACATTTAATTTTAACAGCAGTTGTTCCGTGGCTGCAGAAAGCATTATGAGCTTGGGAAAAG